TTTTCCGTGCAATGCTACGCATAACGGGATAAACCCACCAAGCGACAGCCTTAAAGGGCGAAGCTTATACGAAATAGAACCTCAGCTCAACAAGCAGCAGCTCTGTTGCCATTAAGGAAAACATCATGTTTCAGACAAACACAACAACTGGAACTGAAGGCGCAATATCCTCATCACAACCACAGAATTTAACTTTTCTAAAGTGTGGGGCGACTGTGGCTGAGTGGTTAGAGCAGTTGTCCTCCAATGCGAGAGTTGGGGGTTCGAATCCACCAGCAGTCACATGCCGAAGTGTCCCTGGGCAAGACACTGAACCCCTCATAGCCTCTGATGTGTATGAATGTGATCTAAAGCACTGATTAGTCTCGTTAGAATGATTTGTTCGATTAGCTTTGTAGAGATCTAGTGCTGTGTGAATGGGTAAATGAGGCACAGATTGTAGTGTAAAGCACTTTGAGTATCTTGAAATAAGATAGAAAAGCACTATATAAGTACAGTCCATTCCATTTACCATTTAAATGCATCTGTGTCCAAGGCCTGAAACGTCTACCTTACTGTTAGTGACAAGTTATTTTGTTCATAGCTAACTGACAGCTAATATCTTTAACTGCAGAATGTTGTGTCAGTTAACAAAACATCTGTTTGTATGATCCCAGATATAACAGACTGTGACTAAAATCTAAACACATCACACGTGCCATTACAACCTTTCTAAAGACAAAGTCTTTCAACTCTGAACAATGAACACACAGAGACACAACCTTATTAGATTTTATCATTTTTGGGAGGGGAGGGGGGATTATATAACACTACTAATGGACAAGAATTAAAAATCAAAGTTGTCATAAGACATTCTTTCAAACAGTGATAGGATAAAACATGTTCTGTACCAGGAGAGACTGTAACATTTGGGTGAAAATGCATAATCCACTGTTCTTAAATAGATTCCTTTTTTAATTTTTACTAACAATTTATTTTGAATGTAATACATGATTAGTTTCATTTGACTCTTTGACTGTTTGTTTACAAAGCAGTTTAATTTGGACACATTATAAAATCAACTTGCTAAAAGTCTCTTGCTGATGACTAGTCTTAAAAACTATCCTAAACAAATTTTAATAAAACACATACTAAAAACAGCTCACTTATTTTTTTTTTCAAACTTGAAAAACTGGAAATTGCAGTTACAATTTTTTTAATCTGTTTTATTTTTAATCTCTTTTTATGCATTTGTGGACCAAATTACTCGCTTTGGAGAATTAGAGGATGATCTCAAAGAAGCACGGTGTGACCCTACTGCTGTTAGAAGTGACATTAGATACAGTGATTAAATATATGCATATCCCATTGAACTTTTCCACATGTTGTCACAATACAACAAAATTCAAACTATTTTGCTGAGGTTTTATATGATAAACCACCACAAAGTATAGAAACTGTGAACAGGATTTTGTTGTTTTTTTTTTGTTTGTTTTCAAGAATGGCGTTTTTCTTGCCACTCTTCCATAAAAGCCAGATTTGTGAAGTAAACCTGTTATTCTAACAAACACCTGAGCTGTGGAGCTCTGCAGCTGCTTCAGAGCTCCCATGGGGCTTCTTGCCTGATGTGACAGTTTAGATGGACGGCCATGTTTTGGCAGGTTTGGAGTTATGCTGTACTTTTTATGTTTTCAGATGAAGGTTTAAGATCTCTGTGAGATGCTCAAAGCTGAGGGAATTGATTTATAACTGAATCCTGCTTTATAACTTTATCCCTTATCTGTCTTGTGTATTCCTTGGTCTTCATGATGCTTTTTGATCACTTGTTCTGCAACAAACCTCTGAAGCTTTTAGAGAACAGCTGGATTTATACTGAAATTAAATTAGACAGAGGTGGACCTGTTTGCTGACATCTAATAACCAGTGGCAACACTGGATTTTACTTTGTCACACTTTTCAGAGTTTTTTTTATTTATTTTTTATGAAAAAATAAATTGAAAACCATGTATCATTTTCCTTCCACTTCACAATTATGTTCTACTTTGTGTTGGTCTATAATATAATAAACCCAGGTGAAGGACTTTGAAGTTAGTGGTTGTAAAGTGACAAACTGGAAAAGTACAAGAAATGTGAAGAATTTTCAAGACACTACAGTACATTTACACATTATTGTGCTCAGGTAAAAAAGTTTTTGAATACACTTCAGGATAACATTCAGATATGATTAATACTGTAAATAGACATGTTTAGACTGACAAATATGAACAACAACAAAAAAAAGCTTTTAAAATGTGTTCATTTCTTTCAGTTTTTTTTTGGGGGGGGGGGGGGGGGTCTTTACTGTTTCAGTAAATGGAAGTTTAGAAGCCAGTGACTCTTTGTTCTGAAACTGGGATCTTTCTAGTTGAGTTTGTTGCAACATTTATCTAAATGTTCAGCTCTAAGTCCAGAGTGCACCTTCTTCCAGAGTAGATTGGCATAAGAATCAGATGTAAACTGTGTCAACTCGAAGCCTGAGCTCTGCTCCAGCAGCTGATGGAGCAGCAGGATCACGTGCTGCTGACCCATAATGCCTTGTGGGCGTGGGAGCTGTGTGGGTTAAAGGTTAGGATTTTTGAGGGCTCTTGTAATTGGTTGTGGCAACAGGAAATTGCATCAGCTACATGCCCAGGAGGCTGAGAGCAGCAAGATAATTTGTGAGAAGATGACTGCATGTGTTGACATTTAATCTGTAAAACAGAGACCGGTGCTGCTGATCCATAACAGACTGGCTTTACGTTAGCTGTATCTGTGTTGATGATGACTTCTCCATCCTGTCTTCAGATTATTATTTTTCATTCATTCAACCTTCATTTATACAGGTTAGTCTCACTGAGCCTCGAGGACTCATTTACATGAGAGACCTGATTTAAACAAAGAATGATGACAACAGTAGACAATCATGAAAAACATATTTGTGATCTAACTATTTTTTGTTGCTATTCCTCTTGGTTGTCCTTATGATTGCTATTTTGTTTCGATTAAAAAAAAAAAAGAGAAACTTTAATTTTTAAGCCTATTTTATGACTGTCCATTGTTGTCATCATTCTTTGTTGAAATCAGGTCTCTCTTGTAAATGAGTCCTTGAGGCTCAGTGGGATTAACCTGTCTAAATAAAGGTTGAATGAATATAAATTGAAAAATAAATGAAAGAAAATATATAAAAAATGAAACAAAAACAGCTACATTATAAAATTATGTGAAAAATTAAAAACAGAAACGTGTCTGCAGATGCTTAAAGCCACTTAGAGAGGTCAAGGTTGAGAGCTTCAGGTCTTTTTACAAGATATTCCAGGAAACAGGAGCAGAGTAGGAGAAGGCCCTTTTGCCAAGTTCAGTCTGCACTGAGGGAACACTGCAGGTAATAATGTCCTGAGAGCGCACGCTGTAGCTGCACCCACTCAGAGACATGTAGGAGATGTATGAAGGCCACAGACCAAGAAGTGATTTAAAAATGAAAATATACCAGTGAGAGAGTCTGTGTGAAGTTAATGATGACAAGTTAACCAGTGAATACAGGGTGCAGTGATGGGTACGGTAGTTACAGCCAGTTATGACTCTTAGTGATAGACAGATCCAACATCTGCAGGGTGCTTGTAGGAGTGTTTGTGTAAATAATGTCACCGTAATCAATGGCTTTGTTCTGCAGCTGATTTAATTTCTGCTAAAACAGCTTTTAGACGGCATCCCTGGCACCAAACACACGGTCACTCTGCTGAGTATCAACTGCCCCACAGGCAGCGGCCATCTTGTAAACAAAATATATCATGAACCAGTGGATCAATTTGAATGAATCTTATGAAATATTGGATCTAGAACTAGTCAGCCTGATTTAGGGTGACTGCAATTACCAGCTGATCTAAAAAAAAAATCAAAAATAGCTACGATTAGATTAATTTTACAAATATTTGTGTAAAATTTGGTGTTAAATTAGCTGAGACTGATTTGAGCACTGATTTATTCTAAGAGCTAACAAACTGCAGACCTTTGTTTATTTATCTTTTCTTTCCAGTTAATTTTACTATTAACAATTTAAAGTCAACTGTGTTTGTCTGTTTAACAAAATATTTTATGAACTACTGGATGGGTTTTAATAAAGATTTTAAGAAACAATCATTACATGTACAGCTACAACTGATTAATATTAGGAGGCGAGCCAATTAAAACTGGTCATCACAGACAAATGTCCTTGGAAAACACAAGAGTGCATCTAACTGAGCCAGATCTAAAAGATACTGAGCTCATGTTTCATGTGTCATTCACAACAGATACTCCAAGTACCACTAACTGTATGAGGTACTGGCTTAAAACTTTTGCAACAACTATTAGAGTCAACCATGTTTTGTTAGCAATATATATCAAGAATCACTCAACAATTTTTAATGAAACTTTGAGAAAGTAATCATTGATTATGCGTCTGCAACATATTTATTTTTGGAGTCAATGCAATTGAACCCCCAGCTGCCACAGCTACTCTACATTAGCCAAAACAGAGATGACTCAAACCAGTGGATTTTACAGTTATTGGGACATTTCTGTTTTCAAGGTTTGACAAAAATAGCTAAAAGTCTGTCATTTCTCATCTCGAGGCCGAGACGGTGTAGAGGTAGGGCAGCCAACCTGGGACCAGAAAGTTGCAGGTTCAACTCCCCACCATGCCCAAATGTTGTGGTGTTCTTGAGCAAGACATCTAGTCTCTAACTGTTCCCCAGGCTCCTACGTAGCTGCCCACTGCTCCATCTGGGTGTATTTCACGAGTGAAATGCAGAGAACTAATTTCGTCATTGTATGGGAACATACAGTGATGACAACACAAAGCTCTTTATTTAGTTTAAAAGTCTGGCATGAAAAGCGACAGGTGATTTGAATTATTTCAAAGAGCACTGGGCCAAATGTGACAGGAAGTATGCCAGAATGTTAAACATGGATGAGGCAGAACGGGCCACTGTGATTGACTTTTTCTGGAGTGAGATGACACACACCTTTTCCACATCGGCCTTGGTCACGTTAATGTCAGCATCCATCTTCTCAAAGTACTGCTGCGCTCTGTCCGCCTCTTTACAGTCCCTCTCGAACCGCCGTTTACTCTGAAACCACAACAAATCATATTTAAGATCTTCACAGACAAAAAAAACAACAATTATTTTCTGCATGGAGGAGTAGCAGCACCATTTTACAACATGACATTTAAATGCACGTCACGTTTACGTCATGTACACTGTGTGCTGTAAAGCACCAGTTCATGTCAGTGACACAGCAGAGGGTTCTGCTAACGTCTGCAGAATAAACTAATATTCATGGAGAAAACAAGCGTTCATGGGCGCGTGGAACAGAACAATCAGTGTCTGTGGGTCCAATGTGTGCTCTGAAGCCAGCCTCTCTGCCTCCAACACAATGCTGTCATTGAAGCGCGTCTGAGAAGGACGAGGCCGTTCTTTCTGTCCCTCGTCAAAGAGGCCAGGCACAGATAAGAAGTGTTCTGTGAAATCTCTGCTCAGTCCCTTTGCCTAAAATAAACAAATCTGGAAGTTCCTGAAGGGCCTGCTCTTATTACGCAGTATGTAATACACATTAACATGAAGATTAATATGAAGTTGTTGCACGTCTTGCTTTTTGTTTTTGTTTGGTAACAAGACAGTAAGGGTAAAAAAGGGGCAGATATTATAAGATTGATTCTTCTTCTGCTGCCTTTCATTTTATTTTGACTGTATACATTTTTTTTTCATTATTTTTGAGTTGTTATGTTTTTAATGCAATGAAATTAATAAATTATATATAAAAAAATATATATATATATATAAATAATTTGATCAATAAATCTGTGGGGGCCATTGTTACGGTCTGTTTGGTCTCTATACATTGGTCGCTGATGGTCACAGTTAGTCCTGGATGTCAACAACAAACTGGTTGATACACTATGAGAAGGTCCTATTTATAAGACTGAGTTTGTTGCAGCTCCTCAGACTGACAAAGTATTTTGGATTAAAGACAAAATGTTTCAACACGTTTTTTAAATTTTATTTTATTTTTTTAATCCATCCAGAGGACCTGAATGAACTTTGTTAAGGTTTATAGACAGAATTTCTCAGTGCAGCAAGGAGGAGTAGAGATTCCAGTTTGGTGGCCTCAGGGTTCCATCTCTGCTCTTTGCAGATGATGTGGTCCTGTTGGCATCATCGTGTCGTGATCTTCAGCTCTCACTGGAGCGGTTCGCAGCCGAGTGTGAAGTGACTGGGATGAGAATCAGCACCTCCAAATCTGAGGCCATGGTCCTCAAGTTAGAAAAGGGTGGATTGTTCTCTTCAGGTCGAGGGTGAGGTTCTGCCTCAAGTGGAGGAGTTCAAGTATCTTGGGGTTTTGTTCATGAGTGAGGGAAGAATGGAGGGTGAGATTGACAGACGGATTGGTGCAGCATCTGTAGTATTGTGGACTCTGTGCTGGTTTGTTGTGGTGAAGAGAGAGCTGAGCTGTAAGACAAAGCTCTCTGTTTACCAGTCGGTCTACGATCCTCCCTTCACCTATGGTCACAAGCTCTGTGTAGTGACTGAAAGAATGAGATTATGGATACAGATGGTTAAAATGAGTTTCAACCACCTGTCACTTTCAATGAGTTGAAGTGGTTCAGGCATCTGGTAAGAACGCTCCCTGCACACCTCCCTTCTCCCAGTCGGGAATGTCCGACTGGGAGGAGCCTCCGGGGGAGACCCAGGCCAACTGAGAGACATAGTCTGGGAACTCCTTGGAGTCCTCTCAGAAGAGCTGGAAAAGGTGGCTGTGGAAAGAGATGTCTGGACCTCCCTGCTCCAGCTGCTGCCCCCAAGACCTGACTTCAGAACAAGAGGAAGATAATGGATGGATGGATGGATGGAAGGAAGGATGGTCAACAAATCGTATATTCTGATGCTGCTCAATAATTCAGCTAGATAAATCTAACAAGGTAGAGTCAGGTCCTCTGGATGATTCTTCTGAAACATTTCGTCTTTAATCCAAAGGACTTCTTCAGTCTGAGGAGCTGCAACAAACTCAGTCTTATAAATATCACCTGCTCATAGTGGATCAGCCACTATGAGCAGATGATATTTAGGCACCTATTAAGGCATCCTCAGCATATAATCTGAGAGATGGTGTCTCTTTCAAGATCAAACAGTATGCCATTTACAAGGTTTGATAGAAGTGGCTCCATCTCTTCTCACCATGAGATCATCTCAGTCCAAAAAACTGGCATGAAAGGGGATGAGCGATAAGCAGTTTTTAAGAAAAGCAAAGCCATTAATTCTAATTAAATTAAAATGAAAATGTCTCCTCTGTGCCATACCTGTACAGTAACATCAATTTAAAAAAATAAAATAAAACGTAAGAAAGAAAATAAAACATTGTGTGGTTCAAGGGAAGTCCCTGTTCCCTGTGAGTTTGGTGCTGTAGGACTTCCTGTCTGGATGTTTCTGTGGTACACAGCCTCATATGAATGTGTGAGGATGTGTGTGTTGTGTGTCATGTGGACTGTGTGTGCTTTCAGCACTGAGAACTGATTATTGATCACTGAAATCTGCATCATGAGGTCATAGTTTATTAACATCTGAAGCAAATGACAGGATAAGGCTAACGTTCACTACAGTTCTAAATCAAAGCATGTGTTAAATTAGAATTTATTCAATTACTGCAGTTAGCGCTAAACCGCAGACTACATTTGGTTCACTGCCACACTTTTATCACTGGGGAGTGTTTCAGGGACAAAAAAGTATTTTTCTTTTTTTTATGGGTGGATGGATTTTTTATTTTTTATGTTAGCTACAACAATCTGTATACATTCAAGTTTCTAATGGAAATGTATCCACCTTATTCCGGATTTGGCGCCACTACCCATAATTCATAGCGGAAGCCGGTTCTTTACTTCCGCCCGCGATCCCGCGCTGTTGTTTACGTTTGTGGGTTAACACACTTGCTAGCAATTTAATGTTTTTGACACAAAAGTTTCCTTTACCTGAAGTAAATGGCAGCACATCAGAGGTGGATACATTGCAAGGATGTTTTAAAAAGCTGCGAAGATAAGTCGTTAACTGTGTCTCACCCATCATTTCTCACGGACTGGGTAGATGATATGAAATCATGGCCCGGAATTACCTACATCGATATTATTAATTACCTTGTTTTTTCTGAAGGCGTCGATGGCGAGGAATTGCGGAATTATAAAAGCACAGAGGCGTATAATTACCTCCACAGCAACAAAATAGATACAGTTTTGCTCAAGAAACAAGGCGACTTTATCTTTCTGAAAGCAGCTGTTGAGCCGAGCCAGAGCGTTGGTCAAGCTAAACACTTAGCATGGGTCATGCTCAGAGAAAGTGGAGTGGTAGAAACGGTCGGCTGTTCCTGTATCGCCGGATTGGGAAAATCATGCAGTCATGCGGCAGCTATTCTGTGGAAGGTATATCACTTATCTGGATATCAGAATATTTACATCACTGAATCAGAATCACTGAACTGGGCGAAAGCTGTGAGCTTCCTGTCTGCCTGTGTTTACATGTGGAAGCCAGAGCATTGTGCAGCCTGTGATATACTGTCACAAAAAATTAAACATTAAAAAGGCTGTACAGTATTTTTATATTATTTGTTTTTAAAAAAGTACAGACTGGATGCAAGGCAACCTAACATTTACAGAAAAGGAAAAAATAAATGACAACAGCAGGGATGTAAATAACTTGTTTCATTTTATTAGGAGCAGTGATAGCTGAAGTCTGTTAAATTGTTACAGGTCCAGAATGCTGTGATCAGTGGAAAGACGGGGCTAGCATGTACAGATGAGCAGCGCAGGTGGAATGCTGGGACAGCAAAGAATCTTCAACCCAAACGTCTAAGCATGATAAACTTCAGACACCACAAGGCAGAGCAGCAGTATAACATCAACTCAAGGGCTGCAGACACGATTAGTCTTTATTTTCATAAGTGTTATAAGGACTTGATCTTGTACAGGCATTGTAAATTCATTGTTGTCATCTCCTTCCAGTGCTGACACAAGAGTGTTAAATGTTTCTAACGCTATACCAGTGTACAGCAAAGCGTCTGCGTCATTTTGTAGAAGAAAAAATGCAACTTCATCACACTGAGTCGTCTTGTCCTGGACATCTTTTCTGCCAGACGTGTTGCAGTATTGATGATGATCTTTTAGCGAAGGGTCCTCCCACTGTGTGTGGACTGAGTGCAGATGTGGCCCAGGAGGTTGTGTGGAGACGCTAGCCAGGTCTGGGATGACTGACGGTGAATCTACGGTGCACTCTGAATAACACAAAAATACAAAATCAAATCAGCGTAACACAACCTGTCAAGTGTCACTTACCTTATTACGTTTTAGGAAGGAAATTTGTAATTCCACACTCGTACACACATGATACATCTTAAATGTCAATAGTGCTGTTTTAGTGGGGCTTTAGCCCCCTTAAATTTTCCTAAGCCCCATCAAATTATGCTATAATATCAAAATATTGTGATTAGATTTTAGTTTTTCATCCTTAAAAAAATCAGTTGGAGCTAGGTTGCATTTAAGCTTTTTCTTTAAAGAGTTTAAAAGAAGTTTTTTTTTCAGCTGTGTCTGTTTCAAATAACCTGCCTCTAATAACTCAACATATTCTTTATTAACAAAATCCCCAGACTTTTACAGCCCTGGGGGCTGAATTTTACCAGGTTGCTAAATAAAAAGCTATTCTCAGACAGTTACATGAAATCATATACATCTCTGCTAGCATGCTACTGATGTTAATTACTAACCACTTTGTCTTTAAGATTTGGATTTGGCTGCCAATCAAGTACTTTCTCTTAGTGATAAAGTATTTTGGAATTAAATTAATAATACACTAACATCCACAATAACACTGCAACCAGCTAGCGCTGATGCTAACACCATCCACAGTATAGTAATTATAACATTACAATTATAACATTAATAATAATATAATTCAGTAAAAGATAAGAGCTAAGCATGATTACAATGTGAAGCGGGGACAAATCACATTTTCAATTTCACTCACCGGGAACAGATTCGGCCGTTTTGTCGATGTTGCTGGAAGCTGTCTGGCTCACAGTGGTCCGGATGAGCTGCCTTCTTTTCTTTGGTGGGGCCCGGTCATAGCCCAGATAGAGCTCCGGGTCGGGGTGAAGCTCTGTGGGCTTTTTATCAATAAAATGAAAGGAGCAAACATAAACTCTCTTCGGGGGGTATTTGAGTTTTAAAGCTGCCAGCCACGCTCGTTTTCGATCCTCCTTCCTCGGCATGGAGTGCAGTTCGTAACGCGCTGGGCACACACAGGCCTTTCGAAGTTGTTGATGTGCAAAACAATACGTTTCTAGCTCGTCTTTCAGTTTTCTGGAGCTGTTGTGACAGCCAACAACAGCACAAGTTGAACCCGAACTCATATTAGAATTGTTTAAGCCTCCTGCTACAGCACAAATTACTAGAATTTGTCATTAGCAAAAGTGCCTGTCATTAGCAAAAGTGCCTCTCGCTTTAGCTCACCGGAAGTATAAAACCGGGAGGGGGCGGTACCTGTCTGTCATGGCAGCCCACATACGCTCTTGCAGAATAAGGTGGATAGTAATAAAGTAAGGAAGCATAATTTTAAAACATGTTTCTTTTTCTAACTTGAGATACATTTGGCTGTCCAAAGCAATCACAAATATATGAATAAAACTTAAAATCTCCTAAAACTATTGAGCATGGACTTTGTTGCTCCTAAAACTATATTTTGGGGTTTACTTTTGTTTCCAGAAATGTCATTCAGCTCAGGACAAACCTATCGAGCAACATTATCTTTGCAAAGTTAAAACACTTTTCCTCTTTGAAAGTATTGTTTGAAATGAGGTTGTGTGAAAAGTGTAAGGAAAAATAATATCTTACCTGTTGTAGATAACTCTTTGAAGGACCTCATGTTGGAGAAATAGCGTTTTATTCTGACAGCACTGATGAGCAAACAGACCACAGCAACCAACTGTGGTCCAAACCCCATTTGGACCCATTAGCTTCTGTCTTGTTAATTGGGTCAGAATTAAACGCCAAACTGAGGTCATTCAAATCACTATCTAAAGCAAGTAAGATATTGACTAAGCATAACATTCTCATAGCAGTTATAATGTTCACTTAAACTAAGAATAAAATAAACCAATAATTCTAAACGTAGATCTTAAAGAAATCAAACAATCTAAAATCAATATCCTGATGCATGCTCAATAATCCAGGTAGAAAAATCCAAAAAAGTTCAATCTGGTCCTCGGGACATAAAAAAAAAAAAAAAAAAATCTAAAATCAAGTTGTCCTTCAAAAGATTTTGCAGTTTCCCTTTTATCACTGGCTACATCTTCAGGAGCAACAGTTTTATTATTAAAATGTGACGTCTGAATAACGATAAGATGTGTGCAGTCACAATATTGGTGTTTAAAACTTTAAAACACTGAGGCTTTCAGGGTTTATGCAGAGATAAAGAAAAAGGACACAATATGACCTTCTTTAACTGAAGAAAGAGAAGAGAAACTGTGAGTTACTTACTGATTCCAGCTGCTTCCACAAGCTCTCAATGTGCTGCTGAGCCTTCCGCCCATCATGGAAATGCTGTTGGAAGAACCAAAGAGAAGATGAATGGTTTCTCTATACTCATGAAACCGAGTGAGTTCAGGTTATAAATAATTAACAGCCAAACATCTGAACTGTGATGAATGTTCCTCAAACTGACCTAATCAAACAGCCATACTGTAATTTGGAGGATTATATTCCAAAGATTAATGCTGACAGATCTGCTCAACTTTAAGCTGATGGATCTGATGGTGAATGATCACTTCGCCTCACACAGACCCTGCCTGCACGAACACTGCGCCTGAGTGTGTGCTAAAATCTTAAAGTGCATGATAAACATTAGGGTGAAATCATCAGAAAGGAAGATTGAAAAATACATTTACACATCCAGGAAAACAAGTAATGAGAAGATTGGAGCAGAAAGAGATTGTATAGATCCTTAAACTTCATAAACTCAGAAACACAAACAGGAACATTGTCATCCTTTGTAGAGATCTAGTAGAGTGCTGTATGAATGGGTAAATGAGGACACAGATTGTAGTGTAAAGTGCTTTGAGTATCTTGAAATAAAATAGAAAGGCGCTATATAAGTACAGTCCATTTACCATTTATCCCTGTGAATATTTTTATGCAATTTCTTTTTTTAAACTTTGTACTTTTCTTGACCCAAAATTTTATTCTATAGCTATTTTCTACATTCAAGTATAAAAATTAACTGTATGTTTATAGTTTAATATAAATTATTATTTTCTGTAACCTTTAGTTTATTTTACAGAAAACATCTGTATAGTGGTCAAAGTTTTCATGTCTCAAGGCTCCACAATTAATAAATAATAATAATTTATGTATGTACATATATATATATATATATATATATATATATATATATATATATATATAATTATTATTATTATTATTATTATTATTATTATTATTATTATTATTAAGGCAGCACGGTGGCGCAACTGGTAGAGCTGCTGCCTCTCAGCGAGCAGGTCCCTGGTTCAAACCCCGGTCCAGGGGCCTTTCTGGGTGGAGTTTGCATGTTCTCTCAGTGCATGCGTGGGTTTTCTCCGGGTACTCCGGTTTCCTCCCACAGTCCAAAAACATGCATGTTAGGCTGATTGGTAACTCTAAACTGTCCCTAGGTGTGAGTGAGAGAGTGAATGGTTGTTTGTCTCGTTTGTTTCTATGTGGCCCTGTGATGGACTTGCGACCCGTCCAGGGTGTACCCCGCCCCTCGCACAGTGATTGCTGGACATGGGCACCAGCGACCCCCGTGTCCCAAAATGGAATAAGTGGGTAAAGAAAATGGATGGATGGATTATTATTATTATTATTATTACATGTCCATTGTAAATTGTGGCAAAAATCTATTAACTTTTTGTTGGACAGCAACTTGCTCTCATTCTGACTTATTTTGTCAGCACAGGTCACTATATATAAATACAGAATATATTATAATATAAATACATATATTATATAAATTTATATACATATATTAAGTTTGTGTAAAAACGGCAAAACAATATATGTCAAAAGGCCACGGAAGTCACATAATTTGTTTAAATAGATCCACATGTGGGATATCTAAGTTAGTATAAACTTGTAAAATAGTCGTCTATCTTTATTTTTTAGGGTCCGATTCATGTCCGGTCTGTCTGTTTCAGGCTGCTGACTGATCATTTATCTTCTACATTTAGTCTCACAAATGGATTTTTAAACAGAAACTGTCCACTGTTGGACACAGCAGGTTTTGCAGCATGGTGTTCCTGCACTTGATAAGATTACATGAGGTTTAGCATTAGCAATGATTGTATCAATGAGCTAAAACCATCAGCATGTGTTTATGAAGCTGCCCCAGTGAGACTCATTGGGATCTGCCTGCAGTCTAGATCACTGTCGACAGGGTGACATGATAACTGCGAGGAATGTGGGTGGTGGTGACTAGTCCTTCTTACTAACTCAAAACCAGTAAGAAACTGAATGAATCACCAAAGAAGATATTAAATTCTACATAAAATTGTCCAAATAGTTGAAAACACAAGAACAGAACAGTACACAGCTAAGTCCATAAGCAATTTAAATGATTTATTAGGCTATTTTTAGGTATGGCTGCACTCCACTTGCTCTTATGAACTGGATGTGCATGATGAAAATCCAGCTGAGGTCGTTTTAGGGTCAAGATCAGTTTGAATCTAAGGTGGACCTTGGTTATGCTCAATGAGCATTCTGGACAGACCAAGTGGTCTAAACTTTGAACATATGGTGTGTGTTTCTGTTTGAGGCCTCATTTGGCCTCTGAAGGCAGAGCTCTGTGTGGGCTGAAACCATCTCCTTGTGAAACATGCAAACACTGAGGAACGATTCTAAATAAAAGCCAGTCAGTGATTACTTCCAGTGCATACTGATACTTTCTCCATTTCTTGTGTTGGAGTTGATGTGCCAAAGAATCCAAAAGCAGAGGAGCTGAAATAAAAACTGCAAAGAGACTTGGCTGTCGATGAAGTATCCCCTGGTTACAAACACTTTGGAAACTGAGCTCAGTATCTGAGCTGAATATTGATGCTGCTGTTCAATAACACACTCTGACAATTTCTTTTGAGCTTGAACACTAACAAAAGTCAGTCTTGCCTTCTGTTTTCTGATGAAAACTCCCACTCGAGTGAGAGGTGTGAAATTAACACTGATGCATGATCATCCCACCTGAAAAACAGTGGCCATGACAGCAGTTTGTGAGAAATGGTTTACCTCTAACAGTCATACTTCTCATTTCCCAAAGTTTTTGGGGAAGCTGACTAATGAGGAAGTGTTCCAACATTTCAGAGGAAGTATTCAAAAACTCTAACAGAAGCAGGACATGAAGGCATCGCTGAACTCCTGACAGTCCAGAGTTCACCTTCAAATACCTGTTTGATAAGAACAATCTGCACAGTGCCACACAAAATGATGATGATAACATGTATATACAGTGAACAGCCAAAAACACAAGTTTTCTTCTGCTACATTCTTTCCACAAAATATTTGTGTCCACAAAACTTCTCACAAATTCTCAGCATCTCATTTTGCTTATATGCATCTAAATATGCTTTTCTCCCAAACTGTTTCATTGGATTTTCATCTGACCGCATACTGAACTAATCAGCTAATTCTCATTTCATTTTACTTTCAAACACAATAAAACAGCCTGTGAATAATCTGGATGTGTTGTAGTGGGTGAAAATTCTCAGTCATCCAGGACATGGTAAATGCAAAAACTGCCCAAAAACCAAACAACTAGACTTCTGTGCTGTGACTGAAGAGTGTGGCGTTTCAACTACTGTACTTAAAACTGCATGAGAAGGGTTTATGTACCTAGATTCACATGCAGATTACTGTATTTTCCAGCGTATAAGTTGCATTTATTATGCATCACCGCTGACCTGTTGCATTTATTATTTTTTTATTTAATGGTCAAAACAGCTTCATTTTGCCTGGGTGGCACAGCGCCATCCATCCATCGTGGCCGGAGCCACTAGCTCTCCAGCGTTCCTCCGCCTGCACCAGCTGAGTGAAGCGAGCGCGCATGGGAGGACTCACTGTTGCAGTTCTTAGAAATTTGAAGCGTCAGTCAAAATTATGAATATGGAAGAAAAAAAACATGCAAATCACTTTGGCGTATAAGTCACAGGACTGTCAAATCTATGCAAAAAACTGTGACTTATATACCAGAAAATACGGGAGATCCAAACTACTTGCCCCTCACAATGGAGGCTCGTTGGGCTCTTTGTCTGCCTGGCTCACAGAGAGATGTTTTGGTCACATGCATGAAGGTGTGAATAAAAGTGAAACTGGCTGGGAACGTTTGTTGAAAGTTTATATCTAAGACCATCTCCTTTGTTTAAAGTAGGTTTTTCTCATTTGATGTAAATGGCCACCTTCACTCTCATTTTCAAACCTTTTTCTTTGTCTTCTCTGTCTAAAATATGAATATTTGGTCCTCAAAAGAGTATCCCTTATCCTTGAGGTGTAGGACTGCTGAGTCTTGTCCTGAAGAGTTAGCTCTCCTGTGTTGAGCCATGGGTCTGTAGAGAGGCAGTTTAGTTTCTCCAATATAGCCTGAACATTCCTCGCTACACTGGGTATGTTTACATGGACATAAGTAACCGGATCAAATGGCCGGTCGGAATGTCATGTCATGAATGTCATGTAAACACTCCGTTCGGGTTATTTTTTGTGTATTCGGCGCGATCCGATATAATTTGTGATCAGAACGAAACGGGTGGTTTACGCCGATCCGTAACCCGATCGGTGCGCATGTAAACGCTTGATCTGTTCGTTTTTATCTGATGGTGAAAAACTGACCTGACTGCGCATGTGCGACTTTGCCATTTCGGCCTGGCTAATGCTAATATTAGCATGTCAGGGAAGTAAAACTGGTCGGTGAGCGACACAACATTTCTACTAGAAACTTTTAAAGAGCTCAAAATGATTTCTATTACCTGTAGCTCAGTCAGGGAGTGCAGTAACGTCTCCACCATCATTAAAAACTGTCGCGGGTCCATTTTGGGTGCTCAGGTTTGTTTACGTTCACCCGGAAGTAGAACTTCTTCTTCTGTGTTTTTTTTAAGGAGAGTTTACCACTCTGTGCATGTCAGTACTGCTGTTCAGAACAAAGCCCGCTGCATGTAAACGCTCATCATGAACTGATTGTGCCCATGTAAACAACACATTTGAATTATTCAAACAGAACACATTTCAATCCGGTCAAAGAATTCTGCGCATGTAAACATAGCTACTGAACTGTATGCACCACACCACTCAGTTTGGGTTTGGGGGTCCTGTCCTTGATGTACCAGCTTCTTCTGTCAGAGGGTCCTGCTGGGTTTAAAATGTGCTGGGATGTCATGTTTGGAGAAAATCCCTCTGAGTTTCTCACTCCAGCAACATGTTGGATGACAATCCAAAAAAGTTCAATCTGGTCCTCTGGACATTCAAAAAACAAGAAAACAAAAAAGCTGAGACTGAGCTGAATACAGCACCTCAGACTGAGGAAGTCT